CCCAGGGTACGTTCCGGTATACCGGACCGTACCCAGGGTACGTTCCGGCAGTACCCTGGAGGACATAGACTCTCTCGGCCTCGTGTTATAACTCAGGCCTACTATATAATGACTACTATACTAACTTTATTATGTGTATAATTTGTTGATTTGTCTCGTTCATTGTTTTTCAACTACTTGCAAATACCTTCATTTGGTGTACAAATTTCTCTTGTGAATAATTTATGATTAACAAGGATTAATTCATGATGAAATAGGAGACTGATGCAGGGTGCAAAATTAACGCGAGTCCGGTCCGGAGTCAAATATTCCCTGATTTACTGTCGGACTTCCTGATTTGACATATGCAGGAGTTTGCATACTTTTTCAGTGGATGCCCTTCCACAAGTTCCAGTTGCGCCACCGTCGTTGTAACCAACGGTATAAGCCGTCAGTTTTAAAACGTGAAAAAAAAATTCTAATGAATATTGAACGATAAAACTTTATGTAGCATAATTTCAACCTATTTCAACTGAAAATATTCAAAAAACCTAGAGTAATGTATCTCTTTAACATAATTTAGATAAAATGGCATTCGATTTTACCTCTTGAAATGTTAAGTTTACGAATAACATGGTGTGTCTGCTGATGAGATTACGTGATTAGTTATACACGTACAATAGCGCAGTGTTACCGTCCTACCGCACCCATACGAAATCCACTTGATAAAAAAAAAAAATTAAATACTTACATTGAATACGCTTTAATAGGTAAACACCAACGCAGCGCTGGCAGAGTCACAGTCGTCGGTGGACAACTGGACGGAAGAGGCAGACGCGAGACATCAGCAGGAAGAGCGGGAGCACCGGCAGACAGCGAACGTTGCGCGACTCACGCAGGACGTGTGCCGTCTCGCACAGCGTGTGCGCGTCGATTGCCTGGAGAGGACGTGGTGTGTTGGCGATCGCGGAGAGCGGCTCGCACCGAGCGCCGAGGAGCAGAGTCTCTACATCGCACGCGCGCTCTCGCAGAGTCCCGACCAGATCGACGACGTCGTCCTGCAGCTGAAGAGAAGGCGCGCCGAATTGGTGGCACAGGTGGAGCGAGCTAAAGCACAGCTAATCCAGTACGTAGTTGTCATGTATGGAGTTGTATGTAGCCGTAGTTGTCATGTATGTGGTTGTATGTAGTTGTATGTAGCCGTAGTTGTCATGTATGTAGTTGTGTGTAGCCGTAGTTGTCATGTATGTGGTTGTATGTAGTTGTATGTAGCCGTAGTTGTCATGTATGTAGTTGTGTGTAGCCGTAGTTGTCATGTATGTGGTTGTATGTAGTTGTATGTAGCCGTAGTTGTCATGTATGTAGTTGTGTGTAGCCGTAGTTGTCATGTATGTGGTTGTATGTAGTTGTATGTAGCCGTAGTTGTCATGTATGTAGTTGTGTGTAGCCGTAGTTGTCATGTATGTGGTTGTATGTAGTTG